AGGGGAATATCTATTTAGGTCTTTTGCCAATTCTTAATCCAAGCTGTTTCCTTGCTGTTAAATTTCAAATATATTTGGGATATTTATTCAATATTAGATAAATTATTTGAATGAATTATTAGAAAAATGATGGTGCTTTTACACTTTTCCTTACTGTGTTTTGTTGTTTACGAACTGTTTTATAATTTGTAAAAATCAATAATATTTTAGGCTACTTGTACATGTAGAATATTTGTTTAATTACTTTTACTCCAAAGATTTTTCAGCATAATAGAGGTTTTTTATTTTTCATTTTTGTGATTCTGCCTTTTAGTTTGATGCAATCCCATTTGTCTGTTTCTGTTTTGAGGGTCTGATACAAGAAATCATTTCCAAGATCAATCTCATGGAATTTTTCCCTGCTTCTGGCTGTAAAAGAGGTTTTAGAGTGCTCTTTCCTGTTTTGCTTTTCTGTGGATTAATACTGCCCAGGGAATACTAAACTCTAAACTGGAGCTTATATACATGGAATCCTTAGTTCAGGTAAGGTGAGACATTCTGTGTTCACCCAATGGGAAAATGTCTTGCTTTTTCCATTTGAAGTGTTTGGAGATCATTAGATTTTTAGTCTTCCCATCTACAATGAAAAGAATTCCCAAGATCGACTCAATAGTTCCAGTTGCCAAAGGTAATAAGGTGATGTTCTAGTTACTAAAGCTCCATATAAATGTCTAAGAAAAAAATTCACTCCAGCTAATCATCTCCTTGAAAGTCAGTTAAACAATGTAGGCATTCACATGTGATGGCTGAAGTAAGTTGGCAAGGAACTGACACTTCATCGTTCCCCAAAGATTTCTTACTTTGCTTGGCTGACTTTGCAACTCCAGTAAAAGGCAGGCAGTCTCCAGTAAAAAGAATTAAAGTGAGCATTTTACTTCCCTGTGCTTTTGCTGCAACTTGTGTTTCACTACCCAGCTTAGAGAGTTGAAATCTATTATGGGGCAGGTACTGCTTGCACAAATGAAAGATAAATTTTTCTTCTTGATGGGACAGATCAGTGAGAGTTATAAAATATTAATGATGAAAGCTCTGGGAATTGGGTATATCCCTGACCAGAGAAGTACAGTCAGTTTAACCCATTTTTATTCTGTAAGGTTAACATCAAGACTGATAGGAAGGGAAAAGAATACATGATTTAAGATTCAGATGAGCATAGATTTTTGTGAGAGGTAATTTTTCTGTCTTTCACTTTCTCTCATGTTTTGGGTTCCTTATCAGACATAAATTTTGTTAAGTGATATTCTGTGGTTGATTTAATTCTTGAAGCTGTTCATGTGTTCATGGAGGAAACTGACTGTGAAGAATGCAGCAAAAGTATACTGTTTATTGGTTAATTTAATATAAAATACATCAATAATTGACATGCTTAAGACTCAAGCAATATGTGTAGCCCCTAATTTACAGAACCTATGTAAAGTGCATTTAAGTATCTGCATATTAAAGAAGGTCATTTCTCTTATTATCTAGGCTTTGTTTTTTGCAAGCCTTTCATTGCTATCACAAATTCACAATACTTTTTAGATTCCCATAGCTGTAGAAAGTTTGGCCATTTTTCATTACCTTTTAAAGTAACACTTTTTAAAGATTTTACAACAAAAACAAAATGTATATTTCTAAAACCTAAAGTTAATATAAATTTATGTCTTTAATTATGACACCATGACTAAATTTTACTATGAAGTTATCAAAATATGTTCTGTAGATAAATGTCTATAGTTCATGTAAATATTGTAAATTAATTGAAAATAACAAATAATTTAATTAGCATTTTGTAGTGTTGGAGATCTAACTCAAGATTTTGCCCAATAGACAAGTCTAGATAAAAATATAAGTCCAGTTGCTTTAAACATTCTTTAAGTTAGTTTTGCCAGTGTATTTACTATTTCTGGAAAATGTTATCAAGGAGACTAAATAGAGTTTATTATTTGTCCTCCTCACAGAAAGGGACCAAAATAACAATTCTAAGCTCACTGGAGTAACTAAAGAAGAAGTACTGTGGAAATAGAGAAATTACGAGACATCTGTGGAGTGCAAAGATTACAAAAAAGTACCACACAAAGGAGTTTGAGGTTCCTCATCTTTTACATATTCTCTATTCTATCTATATCTGCTTAAAATCAGATCATATTTTTTCCTTTTGGAGGTAGATAATGTAGAGACACCTCCAAAAGTTCCCATTGACACTGCAGAAAATTTCACAGAGGCTCCTGATGTATTAAGACGATCCAAAGTAGTTTGGAAAATTGCATGGATCCATGTGTCTGTACTGCCAGAAAGTAAGAATCTGCTTTCCCCCTCCATCTTTATGACTTAAACTGATATGTTTCAATGAAATATTGGGACTGGATACACTGTTAGAGACTAATCCACCATGAGGGGCTAGTAGCCACAGTGTTTTTCCGTTCTCAAGACTTCAGACTCTTCTATTGTTCCATAATATTCATACGGGTGATTAAAACACCTGGAACAGATTTTATGCTAAGCAGATAGTATGAAATGCTAGCTTTGGAGACTGCACAGTGCATTGTCTTCCATACCAATATATGGACTTGTATAGAAGATGCATGGCTGTTAGTGCATGTTCACTCTCTCTGTTAGAGAGCTTATTGTGAAGCCTGTGTGTATCATTGGCAGCCCTGCTCACTGGAACATAGACCATATAGCCACAGGACTACCACAAAATCATACTAGGCCAAATGTACACCCTATACCTATGCACAGTAAAAATTTCTCTCCTACAGTAAAACTATAAACACTAACAAAAATGATTGCTGAAATAATTGCACAGGTAGTCATGCGTAAGCCACACACATCCACACACACACAACAAAAAATGTGAAGTCAAAGAAATTTAATACACACAGGGGATATAACCCTCGGTAATCCAAACATGTGAAATGATTGAAATCTTAATTCCTTTCAAAATTCATCTTAAAGTAAGATCACCAAAATATCAAAAGATATGGGCAATTATTCCAGTGAGTTTAGGAAAATAACTTAGGATGTGCATAAGAAATACAGCAGAGGGAGATATAAAAGAATGGAATGGAAACTCGCAGCTGAAGAACTCAATGAAATTATACACAAGAGCCATAACAACAGACTCAATGAAGTCGATGCAGGAAAATTTGATTCAATACAGCCAATTTCAATTGTGTTTTTCTTTCATAGGATGTCATTCAACAAAAACAGTAAAATGTAGGTTAATCAGTATCACCTCTTTCACTGTATTACCTCATCTCTCCCAACCCAGTCTTTCCTCACAATTTTCCTAGTTTCCTAGGATATGCATTTCACATTATGACTGCATTCTCCCCCCCTTTCTCTTCTCATTTGTCTATATCCTGCACATCCTCCTCCCCTGCTCTTTTCAAATACCACATTTCTGGATTTCATTTTGTTGGACTGTGAGGTCATTTTTCTAAGAATTCTCCCTTACAAATACCATGCTTTGGTTAATATTTTTGTGATCACTAGCACATAACCTTGCAGTGAAACCACTACATGAAAGAGTAGGGTTATGTTAGAACTTCTTGGCACAGACAAAAAACTTTCTGAGTAAAGTTGCAAAGGCTCAGCAAATCAAAGAGAGAATTGAAAATGGAATTGTATCAAACTAAGAAGTTTCTGCATGGTAAAGAACATCATTAATAAGCTAGAAAGACAGCTTATAGAGTGGGAGAAAAATATTTGCCAGTTTTATGTCAATGGTCTAGAATATATAAAGAGCTCAGCATAGTAAGTCAAAAAGAATCAACAACATAATTAATAATGGGCAAAAAAAATCTAAATAGAGACTTCTCTGGAGAAGAAGTCAAAATGACCCATAGACATGGAGAAATGCTCATTATCTCTGGCCACAGGAAAGGCAAATCAAAACATCTTACTCCAGTTAGAATGGTCCTCAAGAATACAGTCAACAACAGATGCTGGCATGGATGTGAGGAAAAAGAAATATCAATACACCAATTATAGGGATGTGAACTTTTTCAACTATTCTGGAAAGCAGTTTTTAGGAAAAACAATAGACCTAAACATAGAAACAGCGTCGGTATTTATTCAAAAGTTTACAAATCAGGATAATATGAAGACACTTTCATAAACATGGTTATGGCAGTATTGTTCAGGTAACCACAACACGAAGTAGCTCAGATGTCTTACCGTGAAGAAATAGATTGAGAAAACTATGTTTACATAGAGTCAAACTCCAGTGAACAGGCTGACTGGTCCTTTTCAGATATCTAATTGTACTGAATCATTTTTTAAATGAAAATACTATTTTTATATGATAGTACAAAGTAACATGCTTGTTCTTCCAAGTACCTTTGTGTAGTAAAACTGCATGTTTCATACACTGACTACATTATAGCTTCATAGGTTTCTTCTGAAAACCCTTGTTAACATAGTTTGACAGACATTCACACTATGTTTTAGGCAATGAACTAATACAGTTGTAGCAGAAGCAATCTCTTGAATGTTTTAACACTTTATATATGACAGAAAATCAATAATGTGGATAAATGCATAAGAAACTGGACTATGTACATTTTAAGTCAAGTGAGGCTCCTTAGTATGGAAGTTACATTTTGGAAATAAAAAGCTTTGTGCTTTTTATTTGTGAAACAATATAAAATATATTCAATTTACTGGCTTGTATAGAAAAATCAGTGAACATCTTAAGAGATAATTTTATATCTATGCCTGTATATAATATTCTAAAATGTATCATTCAAATATTTAATTTAAAATTTGTCAGAACATAATGTAAGTGTACAAAGAAATGTATCATGCTTAGATATATGAAAATAAAAATCAATTCTCTATCTATGTTTTTCTTTCAATTTACAAAATTAACAAATATGAGGAAAATACAGTGTCTTAAAAATGTCTAAGGAATCTCTTTAGTTTTAGGATAGTGAACCAATGGGTTTTGTTAATAATACTAGGTTTCCTTTTTCCAGAGTGTCAAGAATTTCTGTACAGGACAGATTATGACAACTTCTTTCTCAAGGTGAGATTCACTGCTATTCATAATGATCTTTTGAGAAGATATAAACTTTCCATACATTATCAAAAGTACATTTTCTATATATATATATATATATATTTTATGTACTTTTGATAATGTATGGAAATTTTATATCTTCTCAAAAGATCATTATGAATAGCAGTGAATCTCACCTTGAGAAAGAAGTTGTCATAATCTGTCCTGTACAGAAATTCTTGACACTCTGGAAAAAGGAAACCTAGTATTATTAACAAAACCCATTGGTTCACTATCCTAAAACTAAAGAGATTCCTTAGACATTTTTAAGACACTG